CCCTTATCCCTTCCAATATAACAAAGATTATCCATTATCTCCTGCCACTTCTCTTCCTTCACACTTTACCTGTATCTTTTCATTCTTTCCCTTATTCTTTCCAACTTTGTACATGGCATGGTTGGTCCTACCTGTAAAGGTCTGAACTGGTGGAACTAAGGAATGTAGCTCAGGTGAAAATTTGCCATGAAAATATCAATAGAGTAGCAAGAGTCTACCAATATTTTGTCAGAAAGGGGTTGTAGAATGGAAAATAATTCCCGACCCACAAAATTGTATAAACACTTTTGAACTTTGTCAATACTAAACAGTAACAACTGAGCAGCTTCAGCCCAGATATGGCTGCAATACTTGATTTTTGGCCTTTTCAACTCTGGTAAAGATAGAACATGGCAATTTCCATAATCAGTTTCCTTCAACTAACAGAAGTGGTACAAACTTAAGTCAAACACTGACCACAACCCTTGTCTTCTGTTACTCTACAACAATCACACTTTGTCTTTTCATCGCCACTTTGTATGCACTTTTTATAGCTTGACTGACAGTTAAAATTTATATATTTTAAGAGAGATTCTTGTGAGTGTCTATCTGACTCCGAGATCTGTGTTAAATGTCGGAGATGTGAAGCTGCCACTTTCTCCTTTGGATACCTTACATGCAAGACAAGTCCGAATCTTTTTGTTCTGGAAGTAGGCTATCTTCTCTAATGATACAATGTGGATGGTCTGTGTTTGGACTTATTGTGTATGTTATCTTTGGACATACTTTGGTATGGGAAAGTGAGGAAGTGAGATAACAAAACAGTAACACCCTCAAGTGATATATGTAAAAAGCTACTTGGATTAATTGCCAGAAAGCATATCCATGAGCACATGGCTATTGAGAGACCTCAGTAGAAACTACTGCATGATCTAGATTCCATTTAGAAAATGGAAACACACTAACCCCAATATTATGCATTTGCTGAAAGGATAGCTTCCTTAGGAGTTATACTATAATTTGAATCCCTGACTATCCGGTAGGTACCACCAGCCCAGAATTGATTGATTTGTTTCTTTACAGCTTATCAAACTTTTGCAGTTTATTTAAAGCCAGAAAATATTTTTACATTTTAAGAATATTTTTGGAGATAATAATGATTTACTGATAATAAAGATTTATTAATTAACTTATAGCTAGTGATCTTCAGGAGATCAAAATTTAAATGCAATGTCAATCATTATCTTCTCTCTTCTTAAATAATTTCAAAATGCAGACATGAAAATAAACACCTCATATCACAGTTTATACCAAACGGATAATACCCAGCCCCCCCCCCAACCGCCAAAAAAAAAAAAAAAAAAAAAAAATTTAAAAAACTACTATACAAAAATACACCACCATACCAATTAGCACACTGATATAGTTACCAGTACTGCTACCTAAACTGCTATCACTCCTATGGATGTGAGGGGATAAACCAATAACACTTCAACATCATTTTACAATGACTACCACTACTTTAGTTACCAATATTGTTGTTACCACCTTATGCTCCTACCGAAAAATAATTACTACCATTAATATCACTTCATATCCTCCACCAACAAGCTTAGTAGTACTTTTTACCATTGTATTTGTTTTTATTATTGTCATCATTTATTTATTTATTACCACTATTATTACTATGAATTGTCATTATTTAATTATTACCACTTCAATTATTTTTTATTTATTATCTCTTCCATTAATATCATCATTATTATTACTTATTTATTACCACTTCCATCATTATCATTATTATTTACTACTGCTATTATTTTATCATTATTTATTATCATTATTTATTTATTATTACTACTATTATTATTTTACTACCATTGTTATCATTATTGTTCATTATTACTTCTATTATTATCATTATTATTTATTATTATTATTCATTACTACCACTATTATTACCACTTCATATCCTCCCCCAACACCATTAGTAGTGTTTTTTTACCATTGTCATTGCTCTCATTATTGTAACTATTATTTTATTCTTACTATTTCCATCATCATCTTTGTTTACTACATCCATTACCATAATTACCATTATCATCATTGTCACATTCTTTTACAATTATACTTCTCTTCCCCATCAAGATTAGAGCCAATTTCTTGTTAGTATACCAATATTTATTACAAATTATAATATCAATTATTTTGATTATCAATATAAGTGTAATCGTCTACAATACACAAGCAATCCATGTTAAAAATAAAATCATTATCATCGCCATATTCACATACAGCCACTTTAAGCAATGTGATGATGTAAGCATCAGGCATAGAGAAAAATATATGTACACGTATACATGTGTGTATATGCGTGTGAGGAAGCGTTATTCTGTTAGACAACATAGACGACCAATCTGAAAGATGACAATAACACCCCAATGCAGCCCTTGTTGAAAGAACTTTGCTACACACAGTCTCAATACTTAAATACAATTACAACTGCATGGGCATGTAAGTCGACATGTGTATGAATGTCATCCCAAAATGGACACCCAGGAGAATTTCCACCACCACCAAACATGATCAAACAAAAACAGACATAAATAGCTTCAAATTTAAAAAAAAATAAATCACTTTGTCTGATGATTGCAAAAGCATGGAAAAACAAATAAAATATATATATATATATATATATATATATATATATATATATATATATATATATATAACACACACACACACAAGTATGACCAAAATTCATGTTAAAAAAAATAAATGAAAACTACAGACAAAAGTTCATTTTCTCCATCAAAACATTCATTTTTGTAGTTCACTGCAACCGGCAAGCAGACATTTTTTTTTCTCCTGATGATGGCCGAAACAAGTTGAGGAATCCTAATAAAATAATAATAAAAATGAAAGAACATTAATATACAACCCAGTGTGTCTGAAGATTTTAATTTTTAATATTTTTTATTATTCAATATATATATATATATATATATACACACACACACACACACACATATATATATATATATATATATATATATATATATATATATATATATATATATATATATATATATATATATATATATATATATATATACACACACACACACAAACAGTCAGTGTTGAAAATGCAATACATCATCATTGCCATGTTCACAAACAGAACCCCCCCTTAAACAATGTGGTGATGTAAGGCACAGAAAAATAGGAGTGCATGTCTACATGTGTGTGAAGAAGTGTAAATTTGTTTGACGACGTAAAACAGCTGATCTGAAAAGAACCCAAAACACCCCCCTGCCCCCCCTTTTTTGAAAGAACTTTGCTGCATATAGTAAGCACTACGGTCTCGACACTGAAATAGGATTACAATTGCGTATGTATGTATGCTTGAATGCATGGACATATATCTGCACCTAATCTCAGATTGTATATATGGGTGTGTTTATATGAACTATAATGCATACAGCTGTATGTATGTGAGAATGTCACCCGAAAACCACACCGAGGAGGATTTCCCCCTCCCAACACCAAACATAATCGAACACAAACAAGCATAAATAGATCCACTTTTTAAAAAATAAACCATTTTGTCTGATGATTGCAAAACCGTGAAACCCAGGGTCACAAACTCCTATCCATACAATTATTTTCATTTGAGCACTGTTGAATGACAAGCTAATTCTATAAACAACAACCACCTGCATTAATGCGAAGCTCTTCAGTAAAATGAATGGAGCACTCCGGTTGCCAGGCATTTGTTTACATTTGTAAAAACAATACGCTAGATTTGGCTGGCTCATTCTCTTCTCACCCTCCTCTTCCCCAACCTTTTCACTCTTTCTATAATTGTCTCCAATATCTATAAGACTTCAGCCAAAAAACAAATGTTTTACCATAGTAACACCGACTTTTATTTTATTTATTTAGATTAAGATCCATTCAGTTAAATTAACTTGAATCAACCTGATTTATCCTACATAAAAACAACAAACTGTATCGGCCAGAGTAACATACAAACCAATATTAAAATGCAAAGAGTATAGAGTAAATTCTTGGTTGAGGAAACCAATCACTACTAACCCCCGATCTCTAAGCCCTATCTTTACTCGCCCCACCCTCTCACCTTCCCTCCCCACTATCAAACTAAAGTGTCCACCTGGTGTAATTTCTCCATTCGTGGACAAGGTTTACATTCTGATGAGATGAACATGTCAGTGTTCATGACATAAAAATTATAAATGAAATGGATAATTAAAGTCTGTCTTCTTATCGTTATAATGCGCTGTAGTCTCCATCTTCTTATTATAATACTCTGTTAGTCTACATTGAGCACTCCCTGGATTTATATCCTCCTTGGAATTATCCCTTCCAGTCACAAACTGGTAAAATGTATAATTATATTCATTTCACCCAAACAAGGCAATAAAGCAACTAAGATGCAAGGGTTTACTGTGGATAGTAGAATATTAGAAAAATAAAACATTATTAATGAAAAAGAACACAAATTAAGAAGACAGAAGATAGCGATTGATACTGCATTTAAATTTTTGAAGATCAAAGTTAACTGGAAAGCAAGAAGCTGGGAGAGAGTTTAAAAAGTGCAGTTAGCATAGAATGTATGGTTACATCCAGCCATTTCAACTGTAAAATGATGAGCTCTTGCTACCAATCTAGTATTGTGCTTAAATTCATAAAATCAAGGTTAGCAAAGAGGAAAGCTCACTAGAACAATTACCATGAAAATATTTATAGAGAAGGCATAGGGATGCCATGTCAGGACCAGTACCATTGCAGATTCTTCTTTGTATTTTCTCAAGAATCTCTAAATATATCATAGAAACACCAGACCATATATAGCAGCAACATTCAAAGCATGGACGAATGGTAGACTTATAAATATAGAAGATAGATTCTAATAATTAAAATTGTCCAACACGTCACAGTGAACAAAATTTTCTAGCAGTAGATTTAGCAAATGATTCAATATGATTCTTCCACTTCATGTCAGCAGAAGACGTTTTACTGTTTTCTGAAAAAAATATTTAAAAACAATCTTGATTTAGAGCAAGAGGAATAGAAATAACTAACTAAAAAGCAGTATACTTATTAAACGTAAAATTATTAAACATTTGAGAAAAGCCATGTTTGTTTTTCTGGTTCTTTTTTTTTTTTTAATGTTATCTTTATTTTCAGACATGATTTGGAAGATCAGTTGACTGATGTTCTTTGTAAAGAACTTGTTCCTGCTCTGGAGAGTTTAAAAGATTTCCTTGTCAATGTGAGTATAAATAACTTTTATTTGAAATCTGTGTATAATGCATATATATATATATATATATATATATATATATATATATATATATATATATAAATAAATGGACTTGGGACATAAGTGATACTTTGTAAGAAAGCATCACAAAAAAAAAAAACAACTGTAAAAACACGAAAAAAAGGTCAAGGAGGTACTTGTGCGTGAGTTTATTTATAGTGAATTGAGCTTGCACTGCACTCATTCCACTTTTTGTGTGTGGCTGGCCTGCGAATACATAGAATTTGAGGGGAGTGGGGGTGAGAACATGAAATAAAGGGTGTGGTCACGCTCAAAACCGAGTGGACAGCCACGAAATATATATATATATATATATATATATATATATATATATATATATATATATGACAAATTGGAAAAGGATTTTTGTGACATGTTTCATCTATTAGGACTTCATCAGACTGGGTTAGTTTTAAAATATTGTGACTGAACATGCACACAAATGAGACGCTGGTAGTTTCAAAATATTTTAAAGAATTTTTTTTTTCAATCTAGCCAAATTCATCTATATTCATTTTCTTTTTCCATCATCTTTGTTTTTAAATCTCCTAAATTGAGATAATAGAAAATCTGCCAAGAATTATGAAACATAAGAACCTGAACGTAAATTCACAGTGGCTGAACTAACGATTAAATCACTTTCTAGACATTTTCGGCTTAATGAATTATTTTCCCTTTTAAGTCAAAATTGTGGTTGTTACGATAAACCACCGAGTTTTGTGTATTGTTTTTTTAAATGTTTCTCTTGTGTTCATATAGTCTTTTATTTAAACTTCCTGAGGTTTCTCCAATATATTCTTTTGGGCAATCGTTGTAATGATAGAGTAAATTCCTCTTTTAAGTTTTGGCTTGTTGTTTTGTTTTGTATTTAAGTCTTTTATTGTTTGAGATGTAGTTGTGGCATATTTTATATTGAGTTTAGATAAATTCTTTTTGATTTATGAAACACATCACAAAAACTTTTTCCAATTTGTCATGCATCTTTTCTTCCAAAACTATTCTTGTTTATATAAAAATTTATATATCGTTTATATATCTCCATCCATGTGAAATGAGAAAGAATAGAATCCAATTCCGATGTTCAGAACATTCAATTTAAAAGAGGGCTCACAATTCTAAATCTGTGGATCAGGACCTCTTACTTATGATTGCTTCTTAATTTTCATTCTTTCACCTTACTTTGAATTCCGCATTGTCCATTCTGATTGGTTGATCTGAATAAAAACAAAAACCCTGCTACTATCTCCTCTTCTACTCTTTTTCTTATTCTTTTTTTCTTGAAAAAAGAAGGTGTATCTTGTGTCTTTCTTACTCTTTTTCTTTTCTTTCTTTTCTTGTGAAAAGAGTGGGGGGATTGTTGTTTTTAAATCTCAATAAATTGTCTACTCACCAGTCATTTACTAACACCTGATGAGATATGTTAATACACATTGAAACATAATTGCATCATTTATGTGGCATTTTTACATGTTTTTAATGTAATATCCTAAAATAAAGTGTATGTGCACACACACATATATATATATATATATATATATATATAAAATAATATATATATATATATATCATTAGGATTTATTTAAATCCCTTGCTCTTCTTAATTTATTTAGCACTTTTCATTTTAATGTATTGTTACTTTTCATTTTAACTTTTTTTTTTTTTTTTTTTTTTTTTTTTTAACCCTGTTGGAACTTTTTCCTTTTTTTTTTTTTTTTTTTTTTTTTTCCAATTTTTCCTTGGATACCAACTTGTTTGAAAATTGTGCTATCCAGGTTTTTCACCCACTGAGCTTAAATAGATTTACTTATATATATATAAATAAATGATGCTTTCCCTAAGTAGGAGGATGCAGGTTCAATCCCTGTCTGGGGATACACTTCCTTTATTAGTATTTCTCGAACATGCAGATTGGTAGATGTAATACTCACTGTTTAATAAATAAGAACAGGGCGTCTGTTGTAAATATGAAGTATCCACTATAATAACAGTTGAACTAATAATTATATATATTTTATAACTTTAAGCAATATTTTTCGTGGATCCTCATATTTGAGTAGACACACCATCTATTTATTAAACAGTATGTTAATTTATTTTGGTCCACCAGCCTGAATATTATATCTTATTAAAGAAAAATATGCACTCTCCGACAAGATTTGAACCAGCATCTCTGTGACCAGAATCCTAACTCTTCAGTTAATGATTGAATAAGCTTATAAGCTTTTCCTTTATTTTAATTTTCCCACTGAGACCAAGTAGTGCCTCTGATAAGATTTTGTCTTGCCATGAGTTCAAAACAGAATAGTCCATTATTTATGTGGTATTGACAAAAGATGTTAAAGGGATGTTCCTAAGGACAAATGGCACAGTAGATAAAGGTGTTAGTTAGATCCAGTGACAGGACCCAAAGAGTGTGAGTTCAATACATGGTTAAGGTGGTGGAGAACTTGGAGAGGGGAATTGACAGGAGATAACTGGCATCCATTAGACATGGCATGTTGAACTAGGACAGTCTACCCCAGCGAGCAAAATAAACAACATTCCAACCACTTGAAGAATTCCAGAGTGTATGATGACCGAAATGTTGTGATAAATATGTCAACAAAGATAAGGATGATAGTCTGAACAATGTAAATAGTGTGAATAAAAAAAATGTTTTCACACTTATTTTTTTATATATTGATAAATGATAAATATTGCATTGCCTTAGTTTTAATTGTATTATTTTTTAGAATGTTGGAAATATAAAATTATTCTTGTAAATAAACAATCTAATAAATTGTGTTTAATATTTTTTATGTAAATCTCAAGAACAAAAAAAAAATGTATAAATTCACTTTCATCATATTACAATTCTAATCCTTGTCTTTCTAAAACAACAAACATTACTGAGGAGTGAAAGTAGTTAAAATAATAGTGGTGTCAAGGGAAAAACCATCCTTTTGACACTGTTTTTTTTTTTTTTTTGTGTGTGTGTGTGTGCACAGAAGTCCATGTTTGCCCATCTGTTTATCTCACAAGATAATATTAGTACCCTGTTTGGACAAAATTCAGTCTTTTTGTGCATCCACAGGTAGTGAGACTGGAGTTACCTCCCCTGGATGATAATATGAGGAGGCCATGCACTGCCCAGATCACATGGCTCCAGTCTCAACCATAGTATCTAAAAGATTATAGGGCATTATATTTGGCGCCAAGCTTGCTGCAGGAGTTGTTGCAAGGTTGTCCATTTTGGCAGCCAACTGCCTTTGGTGCTCCACTTTGGATTTTATGTTTGGATTTTATTTCCATCTCTGTGTTTCAATATCGCTTCAAAGCAGTGGGGGTTTCAAATCATAGTCTTATCAAGGGAGAGGAATACCATCTAAATAGGTTGACATGCTCTATCTACCTATGACAACCTTTGGAATATATGTATAATAAATATTACATATGCTATGTGTTTTAGAATCTCCCCCAAATTATGAGTTTGTTTTATAGACATAGTATCTGTATTCTATGTCTAACCATTTTTGTACAGCATTAAGTGGTTGAGTTTTGAATTCAGTGTTGTTCTTTTCCTAGACTGGTTGCCAACCACAGCTACAAAGCCCATTTTGCCTTACTGCTTAACTTGATTGCTAATTTCTCATTCAAATTGCTAACCATTACACTATCTTCTCATCCACTTGAGTTGTTTTAATTTCTGAAATCCATATTCTTTTTATTTGATCAGACCTACATGAAGAATGTTCGTCAGAAGCCTGGTATCTGCAACCTTCCCAATGGTGAAAAATTCTATCAGGCATGCATCAAGTTCCACACATCATATGATGTCACTCCTCAAGAAATTCATGACCTTGGCTTGAAAGAAGTTGCTCGTATAAAAGGAAATATGATAAAAATTTTCCAAGAAGAAGGTCTCCCACCTAATATTGCAGAAGCTTCTAAAATATTGTTTGAAAGGAAAGACCTTTGCTGCAACACAGCGGTGCGTAATTTTATCCACATCCTTTGTTTCCTGTTCTTTTGAAATGCTATTGTTCTGAATTTAAATATAATGAACTTTTTTGTTATCATACTTTTCATAGGATTTTACAAAAAATAGATGCTTATCAGTTAGGTTAGTATATTCATGTCATACTTGAGACTCGATCCTAGTTCACAGCAAACAGCAAAAAATGTAACCTTTTGTCGTGGTTAGCCTGGGGTGGATCCTGTCCTGCCTTACCCCACTTTGTGATTGATTTGATTATAAAGAGGCCAAGACTGATTCGTTGCTGGTATCTTCATGTTTGGCTGGTCCAAGTCGAGCAAAGTCATACAATAAAACTGGAGAAAAAAAACATCACTCAAAATATATAAAAAAAAAATTATTACTATTTTTATACTGCATACAATGGTTCGTTAGTAGTTGTGTTCACGTACAGGTGTTTGTCAACCCAGCCCGTTCCTAAATCGGATGCAGCACTTGGGTAAGCTGGTAAGTTTTGGCTTGCAGAGTTAGCAAAATTTGTTCTACTGATTTAGTAAGTTTGGCTCAAGGCTGAAGTCAGAGGTTCTTATGTTCAGCAGGAGTTATGGAATCTCTCAGCGACGTTTGCCGCTTCCCTTCTCAGCTCTCAATTGTCAACTCTCGACTTGTAACTGTCTGAATGGCTTTCGCACATTCATTTTTATAAACTCTAACTAGAAACTGGTGCGGGGCAAGATGTAGGTTGGGTTTCAGTGATTTCCGACAAAAGTCTATTGTTTTTGGTCTTGAGAAATTAAATTAATTCATAATTTACAGGAATTCTTCTTCTCTCATAGGAGATGGGTGCAGGTATCACTCCAACTGGTTATTTCTATTTTCTCTTATTACCATCTCCCCCCAGTGCTTTCCAGTGGGCGTGGGCAGCTTCTTCAACCTCCTTAATGTCTTAATTTTGTTCCTGTCTGCCAGCCTGCCTGCCTGTCTATCTTTTGAAGGCAGGTACAATGAGCCAAAGTACTCTAGGGGAGATAACTCTTTTCCTTCTGACTGCGTTTTCAAAGGGAGCTAACACTTTATGCCAATTTCTATGACCCCTCTTTATTTATTTAAGTTATAATATTCTAGACAGACCCGGTGCTTATAAACCCCAAACCCCCGACCACCTGTGCTTTGTGAACCTTGCTCTATTATCAACATTTGCTTTTTTTCTACCTACGTTAAAATTAAACTAAGCACAACTGACAAAGGATGAAAAATCTTCAGATTTTGACGTGTATTTGTTTTGCTCATGTTAAGTCTCAAAAAAAAAAAAAAAATACTATATAAAATTCAGTTTTTTTTTTTTTTTTTTTAATCCATAAATTTGAATGTGTTAAAGTCATTCAACATTTTAACAAGAAAAATTTCAAGTTGATGTTGTGCCTTGACTATATGAATATAAGCATGCTACTAGATTGACAAAAGTCAGTATTTTCCTGATTCATAAACTAATGGACCTGAATTCTTGTTTTGTCAATAACAGTAACTAATACATCTTTTCAGAACAAATTGGACCAATAATTTTCTCTCTCAGTTGATACAATTCATGAAGTATGCAAACTTTTCCTTCCTCCTCAACAGCAACACATATTTTACAGTGAAGAAAAGAAAAAATTCACTCGTTAATTTCTTCAACTTGTACAAAAGTATCACATACCTACTACTTCCTTGTAAAATCCTTTGATAGAGGATTTTTATCTTGCTACAAGATTATGAGGAAGAAAAAATTTCTTTGTCTATTTTATCTTTATTATTTCTTTGATTCAAAAAATTTTGCTTTTATTTTCTTTTGTTTTTCTGGATATTTTAGGAAGAACTTTTGGAATTTGTGAAAGATATTTGCTTCAATAAAATCCAACCTTTGCTTCCCAAGCTCTTTAAAGATCTTCCAGCGATTCCATTAAAGTAAGTCAAGTTTCGCCATATTCTTACAGTGTACATGAAGTCTTATTTTGTTCTGCGGAAAACTGCTAAATTTCTTTTACTGCAGAATACTTTGATTAATAGGAAAACCTAATTCTACTGCCACTCTTTTTATACATTCTCCGTCTTAAACAAGTTTTACAGAAAGCTGTTAGTAATTGTAGCTGTATCTGGTTGAAAAACTTTCAAAATAAAAAAAAATTCAATGTCGTCTTATTTATATACAAAACAAAATAGCTCAGAAAAGAAGAGAAAAAATCCTGTATGTACAAGTCATTCAGCAAAGACTAAGAAGAAATGAGACTTGTCCTGTTGTAGCGATAGGGGTACCATTATTGTTTATTCCCAACGGAATCGCCTTTTATGTAGCGACGGTGTTATTGTTGTTGTTGTTGTGATAGTGTTAAAGATATTTAACTTGGGCTAGGAAAGGTGAGATTCAGGACAATGCGTGAAAGCAATGCAATTTATACATGACTTAAATAGCACATAGTATAAAATACTGAACTGAACGATTCCAAAATATAACAATTAGATTTATTAGTGTTTGATGTACATGCATGCGAACTGAAATGGTAGGACAGTCGTGTCCCTTTGATTAGGTATTAGTTGTACCAGAGTTCATATTAAGAAAGTTTGGAATTGTGAGTTGTAAAGTTGGTAAAAGTTCAGGAGTGATTTCAGAGTTAGTGAATGTTGGTAATTGTCTTTAACGTCTGGCCAGCAATGACTAAGACGGGAGTTCCTGGAGGTTACATCTTGGCACTTGGTAGCAAGGAATGAGACGTGCGAGAGAGATGAATGAAAAACTACTCAAAGAGTTCACACATGTTCAGTTTATATAATGGTCGTGTACCACATGAGAGGATCAAACGGAGAACGCTGGAAAAACAGATTGGTCGCGTGCAGGCGGTTTGATTGGTTGGAACTGACCAAGATTGGAGGTGATTGACCAATGAATACTTGTTATATTGTATGAAAGTAGGATGTTACTTACCAGATAGGAAGAGTGCATTTCCTAAAAAGAGGTAAAGCTGGTTTGTTGTTGAGGCGAATGAAGAAAACAGTAACCAGCGAGTAAATTCAAGCTCACTCAGCTGGTATTTCAAACTTGAGTCGTTCCTTCTTGAGTTCTGTCTCCAAATCACACTAACTGCCCGTTCTAGCCGTCAACCGTGAACGTCCCTCGAAGAACTAATATTTATTTGCATTTAAAATACAAAATGTGGCACATGGCCAAAGAGGATGGGGAATGGCTTGTCTTCTTCTGTCTTAAATCTAAAACAGCTAGTCACAGACACTGACCCAAACATGCCAACAATAATCCAATCACCAAAACATCACATTCACCCTACCTTTTCTTACTACGTCCACCATAATACCTCACTTTCTCTATGACGTCCTAAATAGTCCCCTTATATACAAATAATGTTCATGGGGAGGGTCATAAAATAACAACTTTTAAAATCCCCAAATGAATATTTACAAAATGAAATAATTATTTACAATAAACTAAACAAAAACTGAGTTAGTAATAAAACCCCCATAAACTATGAATGTGGCAGAAATATCAGTTAACCGGACAAAATCGTCACGGGACTAAAAAAATGAGAAAACATTCAAACCATCAAGCATTCACACAAACACTCACTCATTCATACACAACAACAAATACGAAAACACACACACGAAACGAAAGGCGCCCCATCCATCCACGGAAAACTGACATCACTAACCACCTAACGAGGGAGGGATGGGGAATTAAACAAAAGTAAAAATAGGGACAGAAATAAAAATAATGAGCTTACATACCCTAGCTAAGTTAGCGTGGGAAAAATAGGAAAACTAAATATTCAACAACAAAAACCTAGTCTAGCCCTAATATCTGGGTGGGTTGCCTCTGTTCAACCCTGTTAGGACAATATTCTGTGCCCTAACTGACATCTAAATGCCACTCTAGGTCATCCCCTTTCACTCTACACACCCGCGCAAGATTCACCCACCTTTTGCCGAATTCTGATGATGGAGCCGCCGCCTTTCTCTGTCCTAATCTTGACTTTAAGCTGATGCCTAAGCACAAGATCAGTTGGGAAAGAGGTGAACTTCGCCTTCATAGAATCCCCTTCTGTCGCGTCGTCCAAATCCACGACTCGCATAACCCTAAGTAAGCAACAGAACACATAGTGTTCAGCCTTCGTCAATTGCGATACCACATTGCTACAAACAGAACTGGCTTCCAGGACAAAAAACTTTCCCTGCAGCATGCGAACCATGAGGCCTTCAACAAACTTGCTTCGGCACTACCGCCTTGCACTGAAAAAAGGCGTGATAGCGGTCCTCGACATTCCCAGTACAGCGACGACAGTTTGGATATTTCAACCGCAAGCCAACAGACTTATCGCAGTTGATCTTGGCCCCCGTCACCATCTCATAAACACTGATTTCTTTGCTGACTTCGTCAATCTCGGCTCTGATCGACCCAAGAACCGAAACGACATCAGGATAGGCAGAGTACTTGGCCGAGCTGGTAGCACCAGGCAAGAAAATTCCGCGTAGAACCGGATTCGTCTTTAACTTGCGAAGGAAAGGTTCCAACGCAAGAACATAAAGCAAAGGCGAAAGCTGACAAACTTGACGAATGGAGCGAAACAATACGAAAGACCATTCACTTCCACCAACGGGAGTCGCATACAGAGGTCGGATCCAGGTGCGAAATTACGGCTCGAAACCGGCCACCGAAAAGATAACCTCCAGAAATCGATGGTCAACACTATCGAACGCCTTGGACTGATCTAAATTTATCAGCGCGGCTTCACTGTCGACTTGCTCGATGATCAAGCGTACCATATGAAGGTTGTCCTGAATAGTCCTACACTTCACAGCACAAATCTGTTCGGAGCCAATCAGACTAGACAGGACAGCTCGCAAACGGTTCGCTAAGACCTTAGCCAAAGTCTGTGTTAAAGGGCGAAATTTACCTAACCCCTCCCCACCGTTCTAGTCCTTACGTAACAAATTGATTACGCCCCTGGTGAAGCGTTGTGGTATAGACCACTGCTTCATCCAGTTGCCGAAAAAATCAGTGTCAGCAAATGAACAAAAAACGGGCGACTGCCTCAAGTACACTTCGTGAGGTATAGCATCTATTCCTGGAGATTTGTCCAGGCCAACCTGCTTCAGCGCTTCCCAGATTTCCAACTTTATAATGGGATCCTCACACCTATCCAGTAGGGAAAGTCAGTTAAATAGGCGTTAATTAAGCAGGGCTCAGACCGAGCTCCCTGGTGAAAAGTTCAGAAAGTACTCACGAAAAGCCTCACATATGTCTGCGTTTGTAGTTACGGTCCGCTTATCCGGCAAATTCAGCGACCATATTGCCTCAGAGGACATTCTTTTTAACCTAGCCCTAACTGTCTGAAGTTTAATCTTTCTTGATAAGCAAGGAGTCCAACTCTGCTTTAGCCAAAGCTACGTCCCCACTATCACGGGATTTGATCGCTCGATCTAATTTTTGCTCACGAGGTGTTTGCGCCACTAATCTATCTAGATTGAGCCAACGACTATAATCAGCTGCAAACGTTCTAATTTTGGATTTTAAGTTATTTCACCAGGCATTCCCAACCACATGACAGTTCTCTCTGTATCATTAGTAGCAGCTGGTCCCGGAAATCTTGCTCACCAAATAATAACTTTAATTTCAGTAGCCAGCCATCTTAACTTTTTTAGACTTATCTAAGTTTACACGAACCGGACGAGCCTATAATCCGAATAAACTATATAATGGAAACGTGGACACCTTGAGCCCTACATTGACTCTCCTAAGACTAGGTCGAGGTAGCTAGAATGCACCTCTATAGCCGAGCCGCCACTATTAGTCCAAGTCCACACTACATCCCAGGGTATTCATTCCGGTACTTATCAACAAGATCAAACATTGTCGATAAAGTTCCGAAATTGTTTCACGTCCCGGTTGTTAGTACCCGAATTTGGCCGTATACGATCTATCTCGGGGTCAAGGACGACATTCCACCCCCACCCCCAACCTCTGCTAAAACTACTAGGCGAGATGTCAAAAACGACTCGATCTGCCGAAACGAAGCAGGCCGCTCAGAATGGACATTGGGCGCATCAACCCCAATGAGATGAAGAGCCTTACCTTTTATGGTAACATGCAGCAAGCAAAATCTGCCCGCTGGATCTGCGAAGACAAGCGCACACGCAGCCTTCAAAGACTTGCTCACCAGCCAAGAGACACCCCTCGAGCGTCCATCAAAGCATGCTGAATAGAGGGAAAATCCCAAGACAGAATGCTCTCTTGATCGCCAGAAGAAAAACGGGTCTGTTGCACAAAACATATATTCACCCCGTGACGCTGAAGGTCACGAGAGATCCTCGCCCTGTGAAACTCGGACCTCAGGCCTCGGGCATTCACACTTGCTAACCAGAAAGACATTATCAAACCAATTAGGGTTGCTCTCCTGCATTAAATATGACCGGAGTTAGGAAACCGACGGCCTCTCCCATTGAACCTGAGACAAGCCGCCAATGTACAGGGGTGAACGGAAAGCGGGAGCCTCCCTGAAAAATACTGATTTCATTTTTTCATGCTATCGTTATCAAAGAATGCAATTTGAGATACTATGCTAAAGACCTAGTTTGCTTCCACCACTATTGCCCATACATGTTTACCAGGGGCCCCGGTCCTGATTACAGGTAATATCCTCTTGGCGTTTGGAAAATTTCTGGGGTTTTCTACTTCCAGGTTATTTATTTTTCGAAATTTAATCAGATATTTCAGTTCTTTGAATTTTTTCACTGAGATGCTAGTTTCTCATCTTGTTCTTTTGTAATTGCACAAATATTTTTCCCTGTATTAAATTTCAAGAGCATCAGTAGACAGACTTTTCTCTCTCTCTCTCTCTCTTTCTATATATATATATATATATATATATATATATATATATATATATATATATATATATATATATATATATATAAAGCTGTTCATATCTATCTATTTTCTCTATCTCATATTCATATCTATCTATCGAGATATCATGGTCATATCTATTTATCTATCTATCTCAACTTGTTCATATCTATCTATCTCATCCTGTACATCTCTCTCTCTCTCTCTCTCTCTCTCCCTTATATATATATATATATATATATATATATATATATATATATATATATATATATATATCAACTTGTTCATATCTATCTTTCTATCTATCTGAACTTGTTCATATCTATCTGGTCCTATTCATATCTATCTATCTATCTATCTATCTATCTATCTATCTATCTATCTATCTATCTCATCCTGTTCATATCTATTTATTTTTCTATGTATCAATGTATGTATCTATCTAATTCTCTTCATCATATCTTTTTATCTATCTCTTTCTTCAGTATCTATCTGTCTATTTGTCTGTCTATGTATCTAACCCTGTTCATATCTATCTATCTATATATATGTGTGTGTGTGTGTGTGTGTGTCTCTCTCTCTCTCTCTCTCTCTCTCTCTCTCTCTCTCTCTGTGTGTGTGTGTGTGTGTGTGTGTGTGTGTGTGTAACAAATATATCAAAAACTTTCTGCCGTTGAAAATGTCCAGACAATATGCGTGGAACGGATGGCATTATTCCTTTGAAAAAAAGACACCCCGACCCTACCTTGACTTAACCTCTTTTCAAAGTAATTAATATGTTGATACAATAGTTTTCAGGGAAAATGAATACCCTACCATATCCATAAAAACAAATATTACGAATTTCTATGCTTATAAAACTCCGTAAATTTCAAAATTAGTTATTTCAAAATTCGCTTGAGGATGAAACAAAACTAGGTACTGGAAGTTTTAGTTTCTGTTTTTGAAACATGGCAATTCCTATGTAGCAATGGAATCATATTTTTTTAAAAAATATATATATATATATATATATATATATATATATATATATATATATATATATATATATATATATATATATGTTCATATGTATCTATTTTTCTATCTCTTCTTGATCATATCTATTTATCGATATATCTCATCCTGTTCATATCTATCTACCTGAACAGCTTATTCTTGGTGCATTTTTCTGTTTTTTAGATGCTATATATATATATGTGGATATTGTATTGCTGTTTGAGTATTTACTGTCGTAGATTGCGTGGTCGTGGCTGTGTTTTCTTTTCTTGAATGGTCCCTCATTGGCCCCAATGTAGTACATTGTGCTGTTGTTTGCACGTGAAACTGAGGGTCACAAATTCACATCAACCTAACTAAATATGTTAGCTCTATTACTGATATTGAGCACTTTCCAATAAGTAATATAATAAATAGATAATAAATATAAAATTGCATATTATGTATATATTTATATTCATATTTCCCCATATATATATATATATATATATATATATATATATATATACTGTGTGTGTGTGTGTCTGTGTCTGTGTCTGTGTCTGTGTACAAGAAACGTAAGATTAAATTCCGTTTCATGTTTTAACCTTTGCTTCACTTTGTTCGTCTGTTCATATTTATCTCTCTCAGTTTTTCCTCTGTCTGTTCCATTTTATCTATCTATCTATATATCACGCCTTTTTCATATCTTATTTGATTTTTCTATATATGTCTATATTTCTCAGCCTTGTCATGCCTATCTATTATATATATATATATATATATATATATATATATATATATATATATATATATCTGTCTCAGCCTTTTCATATCTCTCTATCTATTTTTCTATCTGTCTATCTTTCTTAGGTTTTTCATAATTATCAATCTATCTTTCTCGGCCTTTTTATATCTGCCTATCTATATATCTATGTATCTCAAACCTTTACATATCTCTCTATCTAAACCTTTTCATATCTGTTTATCTATATATCTATCGATCTACCCAAGCAGACAGTGAATGAAAGAAAAGAGTTCATTTTAAAGACTTTTTATGACATTCAGTTGAAAATTTTAATAATTTCAAAATAAATGAAGACAGCGCCTTTGTGGATATAATATATTTTTATATGTAGTAACAACTGTGACAAATTCATTCATCCACGGTAAATGAGAATGTTACTAACAATATGGTTTTCTAAAAAAAACTGGCAAAAGATTATTAGTTTGTCATCTGAAACATCAATGTTTGCAGCAATATTTTCTCTTTTGTTAAAGTGGGATATTTTTCTTGTGTTATAGATTATCTATGTATGTAATATATTTTTGTAGAGACATTATAGTTAATTTAGAATAGAATATAGTTTAATGTAGGTATCTCCAGAGATTAGCTAAAAAATGAAATATACATTATGAAAAATGTCCCGAGATTAATAAATCACAGTTTTATCGTCACCATCTTTGTTATTATTAAAAGGAAAGTAAAAAAGATTTTAATTATTAAGTTGTTTTTTATCCTTTTAGAATGTTAGACATTTAAAATTTCTTACATCAGCGGGGCACCAAAGCTTAGTATCTGAAATTTTAACGTCTATTTTTCATTGAAACTAACATTGATTTAGAAATTCTTGCAAAAATTAAATAATTGTCGGATTTTATTAATACTTTCAGGACTTATTTTCAAATTAATTAAATTATTTTAGAAATGTTTGTTTTTGAATTTTAATTAATTTTATGGAATTTCGTTAAAATAATTTTGTAGTGCTTTATGTTAATATTAGTCAATTTATTTTGTAAAACAGAACCACCAGTTACCGAAAATCCGCTCTAAATCGTAAAACAAAAGACAATAAAGCTAAGACGTTATTTAGGTAGAAAAGTTTTTAATTGCTTTTGTGAATAAGATATATGGACAAAATATAAAGAATGCTTTCACTAAAGTCAAGTTTATGATTTAATGAGAAATGAGTAAATATACAACACCTAGTCGTTAAGTGATATCCACTTGTAGATAATGCAGGGTAACCTTATAGCAAATATATTCATCATAACTTTTGTTTTTGTTAAACTTACTGCTTAGTACGCATTGTAGAATCTTTGTAAGAATATTTTTTCTCTTTCACATGGCCATTACAATAGAGCCAGAAGAATACCAAAAGTTATGACAAAATATTAGTCCCGGTGTTGCCCGTCATTGTTTGCGAGTGGACATCGATTAAGGCCAATTAGACGTTGTATAAAACAGAAGAAAAGGAAAGGACACAAACCCTATCTTTCTTCTCTCTTTAACCATTTCACACTTAGAGATCTTTCTTAGCATCCAGGCGAACCACACATAACATGCAACACAATAAGCTAGGTACCTCTAAGATACAAAATGAATTAAAAAAAAATTCTTTAAGCTTTAATTAAGAATAAACTATTTTATTTCAGGAATTGTGGCGTATATTCTCTCGTCAGTAATTTTAGCATCAGAAACTGCTCGGAGTATCACAACGGACTTGCACGTAAGTGATAGGAAATTTCTCATGTTGTAAAAATCCTTTAAGAGCATTGTCAAGTAACATCAAAATCTTGTCTGTAATTTTAATAAATACGTTTATATTTTAATAATTTTATCGCACATCCCACACTAGGTTTACATGATAATTATTTCTCTCTATTTCATTAAATGCGTAAAATTGCACCTAATTCATTATCGCCATTTCAGTTATTATTTTGTAAAATTTTGACTGATATGTTCGTCAACTTTTCTTTGAGTTTAGAAGTTTGTAAGACAAAATAATCTGAACGAATTCCCTGCTGCACTGAGAAACGCATTGAAAACATTGCATTATCTCAAAATTCATTACACTAAAAGACTTCTTTAAATAAGTCTTACATACCTTTTTTGTTTCTTTCTTTTACAGTTACGAATGAATCTCTTGAGGTGACAAGTACGTATCCTTTACAATGGGAAAAATTCCGTTTTCAATATTTCCAAGACAGTGTACACGAAGAGGTTTTCGGTTCAAATTCAAGTTAACCGAGAAAATAAGAATTCATTTCAAAATAAATCCAAAGCAATTTAAGTCAATATATTTATATAACTACACTTTTTCTATGTTTTTGTGTCACTCTTATACATGATACTGCTGTATTGGACACGGTGAAATTTTTTTGGGGAAAAAATCTGCATCCAATAGTCTGTCAAATACAATATTTTAAAACATTTCTGAATTTTTAAAAACGTTTACAAAACAAACTATTACAAATGCTGATAAATTTATGCCCATAGTACATCCAATTAAGGAAAACCAAGATATTTATTTTGTAAAATCTTGCCTTATATTAAAACTTAAATAAAATGCATGTGTATGTTGATGATATACTTTTTGCTGTGCAGATAAATGTCTTACAAATTGTATAATTACAGAATTTCAGAAGCTCCATCCATTATGACAAGTAGTCCTCCTGCCTTTTATCTTGCCGGCACACCAGATGGATCGCGATCAGGCACTTACTACATCAACCTAACAAAAGTCGATGCTTGGTAAGAATTCTTTTACTTTTAACTAGTTGCTTATGTACGCAGATATCGCATGACATGATCAAGAATTCTGTAACTGTTAGTTGCAAATGCATCACATTTGGCATATGGCACAACACTGGGTGCATTTAGGACAAGATGGGGCCAATCCCCCTTTAAGGTTGGTTTTGGATTCAGAGTTGTTCTTCTAGACTAGTTGACATCCAAGACAGGAAAACCCAGTCAGCTCTGCTGTTTAATCCATAAATAGGGCAAGGCAAGAGACAGATTCATGCCTTCATCAAGGGCATTAGTAAAAAAAAGTAAATGCAACAGATGAGCATGGAAGTTGAATTGTTGATTTGATTTTCTGTACCAAGATCTGTTATGTCTGGGATATCACAGGTAGGATTTAGTAAACAGATGGAATATAAATTTAAGTAATCATATTTCCAATAAAGATTGAAGTAACATTTATATTATATATATATATATATATATATATATATATATATATATATATATATATATATATATATATATATATATATATATATAAGCAAAATCAGCTCCAAAAAGAGTCTGTCTGAAATTGCACACTGGCAGAAAGTGTTGAATGCCATAAGAAATGGCCAAGCTTTAATATATTTAAGTCAAAATCCAGGTAAGCAGTGACAAACCATGACTGCTAGTTTCATGTGCTTTCACACAATCATCAGGCGGTTGGTTACTGTAGATTATAAAATAGGCACCCTTATACCACCAGGCAAGGCATATATATGCTCTCCTGTAGACTTACCTGTCATGTTTTTGATCTTAGTTCTATTAAACAACATTTCTTAGAAAAACATAGCCATGTACATAATATTAGACAGATATTAGTTGATAACACAATAATACTCACACATACACACAGTAAAAAGAACCTACAGATACTGGAGGCCATCTACATTAAAACAAAGCAACCCACACTCAACAAAATTACATTTCAAACTAGTCACAACATATTACATTATATCTAGACATATGGTTATTATTATTTTTTATAATAAAATATAAAAAAAATATTTAGCTCTACATCGTATTGAGCACTTTTTAAAAATGTAAATGATAAGAACTGCGGATTCTAACTCTATCTGTTCTTTCTCTTTATTTGGAGATATATATATATATATATATATATATATATATATATTCATTGAATATGACAGACAAAGGTGCTTTGATTTAGTTTTTATACAATTTCTGATGTGTTCTTTTGATCAGATGATTTTTATACAATTTCTGATGTGTTCTAATATTTTTTTATATTTCAGATGATAAATTATAAAAAAAAAATTATTAGATATATATGAGAGAAATTGTATAAAATATAAAAAATTTATATATAAAGAATATGATATATATAAATTTATATATATATAATGTATATATAAATTTATATATATATATGAACATAAATTTATATATATATATATGATATATATAAATTTATATATATATATGTATGTCATATATAATGAAATATATATGAAAGGATATATATACAAAATACACACACACACACATACATATATATATATATATATATATATATATATATATATATATATATATATATATATATATATATATATAGGAGAATATATATATATATATAAATATATCTATATATTGGAACAATGTTAGGCAAATTAATGACAAAGTGGAAGGAAAGTCTGTGTAACATGGTTCGTCCTCTGGTAGCACTTCAGACTAAAGTAAAGTTTTTGTTGATGGAGTCATATTATGTACTTTGTCAATCCAACAACAAAAAATGATTAAAAATTTGGAAACTCTTCTCATCAGTGTGGCAACCTACCATCAATAAACTTTGTTTCAGATCTTGGTGCACAATGCTAAAATGCATTTGAACTGTACAGTCCTTTCAATTTTCTTCTTCTATGTGCTGTAGCCCTTAAGGACATAGACGATTATGGCTCCATAATTTCCTCTCCTTTATAGCACTTATAAATTTTGTCTTTTTTGTTATCTCTCCTAAACATTGTTCTGCCATGTATTTAGTCAAGCTCACTAATTGTTTTCCTGTCTCTCAATCTATCCTGTGAGTATTTGATTTTCCATGACCTCTTTCTTCATCATGTGCCCTAGAAATTTGAATTATCTCTTCCTGACATGTTAAAAATCTATTTCACTAGTTCACTGTTCATTTCAACCCCACCTAGACTGTTAGCAGCATAAATACTCTATGTATTGACTCCTGCTTTAGCCTTTTAATTTTATTTACACTATTTACATTGCTCGGACTGTTGTCCTCATCTTTGTTGCTATATTCATGTTTTGGCCATTGTTTGCTCAGGCCTTCTTCAGGTGATTGGAATTTCGAACTGAATGCTTTATTTCATCCACTGGGGTAGATTGTTCTAGTTCCACATGTCATGCTTCTTCTAGATGCCTCAGTTATCTCCCTTTAATTCAACTCTTCAAGTTTTGGTCACCTCTTCAGGTACTGAACTCACAACTCTTTGGGCCAATCACTGGATCCAACCAAGGCTTCTATCCACTGGGCCGTGTGTCCTCAAGCTTTCAGAGTTCAGTTCAAAATTCCAATCATCTGAAGAGGGCCTGGGCATACAACAGCTGAAACATCATGAATATGTCAACAAAGAACAGTCTGAACAATGTAAATAGTGTAAATAATTACAATACCTCATCTCAAAAATATAGACAGACCTTTTAATTCTATTGTGCATTCCTGTTAATACTTGCCTTTTTTTTTTTTCTTTTTTTTTTTTAAACCTTTTAGTCCAAAGTATGAAATACCAGCTCTAAGTCTCCATGAGGGAGAACCAGGCCATCACACTCAGGTAAATCATTTCAGCTTTCTAATCAGTTCAAATATTTTAATTATTCTTGGTTCCAATCTTGAAATTTAATTTTTTTTTTCTTCTCTTGTCTTTTGAAGGCTTCCTCTGCCATGATAACAAAATCTCCAAATTTCCGATGCTACATGGAGGATATGAAATATTATTTAACCCCATCTCGCTTTCCTATGCACACTGCATATGTAGAGGTGAGCAAATGTTTTTCATAATTTGTGTTTTGATTTTTCATTTTTCTGTTATCGTGGTTCACTATTTCTTTATTTGTGTCTGTCTGTTCATCATATATATGTAGCATGTATGCAGGAACTAGTAACCACGAGTTATGCCCCTTGATACTGGACTTTCCTGAACAAGATTCTGATGTGGTGTGAAATTTAAAAAAAAAAAAAAAAAAAATGTAAGCTCACCACAAGATACTGACACTGTACATCCAGGGCCAGATCCTACATTTTCAGTTAGAATAGGATATGTTCCTCAGTAACAATCTCAATTTAAAATTCTGTGATCATATATATTAGGTAAAAGAAATGAGTGTTCATATATATATATATATATATATATATATATATATATATATATGTCTCCAAATGAGAGAAAGAACAGATGGAGTAAAAATCCACAATTCATAGCATTCACTTTTAAAAAAAAGTTCTCAATACAAAGTAGAGCAATATATTATATAATTTTTATTATAAGAGATTATAATAAAAACATTTTGAAATCGATACACAAAAGCTTTCATGTTTCAATACTATGATTGCACTTCTTCAGGTGATGGTAAGTAACTGGTGAATCACTAGTTACTTGCCATTGCCTGGAGAAGTACAATCATATTATCATGTGTGCATGAATTAAAAATGATAATACATAATTCTTCTTACACCTGGAATATTTGTCACCCATTTATTTGTATGAAAATGTTGATTTGAGGAATTAGAATTGAATTCTGATTCTAAGAAAATAAATTATAATCACCATGAACCCTTAAAGTTGTCTGTTTCTTAATATAATTAATATTTGCTCTGTTTTTACATTGAGCTCTCTGGATTATATCTTCCCTGGAATTATCCATACAGATTACCAAAGACATCTTTACCTATATATATATATGTGTGTGTGTGTGTAGCCTCCACTATCCCCAAATCTACATCTCAAACCAGACCTAAAAAAATTGTTTAAGGAACCCAGCCTTCTAGCATATGTTAGACCTAAGAACCTAAAAGAAATCATAGGTAGTAACCACATTTCAGGGCACAAGGTAATCCATAATAAACTAACAACAAAAACAACAGGATTTTCCCAACCATGTAACAACAAAAGAAGTTTATGCTGCAACCACATTAGACACATGAATTCATTCACTAGCTCAGTCACTAAATCTACTTTCAAAATCTACCACGATTCTAACTGTAGAAGTCATAACATAATTTACCTCCTAGAATGCACACTATGCCAGAAACAATATGTAGGAAAATCTGAATGGCCCTTTCACTACAGAATTAATAATTATCGGAATCTGATTAAGTCGACTCCCCATGAAAAATTATTACCTGTAGAACAACATTTCCACCTAGAAAAACACGATTTCAAAACCCATGCCAAATTCACTATAATTGAGAGAATAGAAAAGTTCAGAACAGATAACATTAGAAAGATTAGAGTTCCATGAAAATAAGTGGATACAATGTTTAAAAACACTATCCAGCCGGGCTAAACCATAAATTTAACAATATGGATAGTATTAATATATAACCTGACAAATCAAAACCTACCCACATTTCTCACTCACACAAGACAGACATGCTTACAGAGGTGTTGAGGCCTCACACTTATACACACACCCACACGAATATACACACATCATACTCACTCACTCCCTAAGAATCAAATAACACACACAATTAACAGAGACACAACCAATAAAACTGTCAAACTGACCAAGGGAATTCAGAGCAGCATGGATCCATCCAGCTCTTATCTCAAATAACAACTTAAAAGAGACTGTTTGACCAACACAACGGATGTTTAAAAATTCATGTTAAAAAGATAAAAAAATAAATGAAAACTACAGACAAAAGTTAATTTTCTCCATCAAGACATTAATTTCTGTAGTTCACTGCTGCCAGCAAGCAGAAAATGTTTTTTCTCCTGATGATGGCCATATTGGCCAAAACTAGTTGAGGAATCTAAATGAAATAATAATAATAAAAATGAAAGAGTATTAATCTACAACCCAGTGTGTCGGAAGATTTTAATTTTTTTTTATTGTTCATATATATATATATATATATATATATATATATTTGAACTCTATTTCAATCCTTCATGAGCTTGCAATCTTTTGCTATGATTAATTAATGATGAACATGTTATTTTCATTTATGATAGATTTCATTAGTATAAGATGGCAATTGGTAAAAGCAATCTTAGTTTTTCGCTGATGCGTTTCATCTTCCGACTTTTTCAAGGCAAAAATGAAATGTTCTTGTTATAGTTACATTACAAAATCCAAATTTAAAAATGAGAAGTGCTTCTGAGTAAGCCTCTTTCTGGTTAATGTAAATTCCTACGACTTTTCTTTCTGTTGACAATATAGTTACGTTCCCAGATCTGAAATGCATTGGCAAAAAACTAAGATTTTTTTTTTTTCCAGTTGTCATCTTACACCAATTTGTCTTGTCCACAGAATTGATCTGAGAATTTGACTATAGATTTCATTGCAATTCTTCTGTTAAGCTTGGAGAGTAATTATAGATTCTTATTGCTCAAAGTATAGTCCAGTCATGTTATAAAAACCTTGGAGATTTCCAGTAAGATATCTTTAATAATTTCTAAGATACAATGGTTCAAAGCTTAATCTAACAATTGGACAATTTTGCTGATACACCAGATGTTATTATAGTGGATACTTCATATTTGAAATAGCTGCCCCAAGTTTATTTATTAAACAGTGTGTATAATGGCTCTGTGCATTTGATAAATCTTAGTAAAGAAAATGTGTTCTCCTGTCTTGGACCTTGTAGGAATGGATGGTGGAACAGAGAGGTAGAAGCTTTAGTAAATGGACAAAAACTGCTATGGGTCACAAAGGATAGGAAGTTGTGGAGAGCCATGATTGTATATGCTTTGAAGAGACTGGGCATATGGAAGAAGAAAAAGGGTTACATTGTTCACAGAAAATTAGCTTCAGGCCAAAAGAGTAAATTACTGAGTGAAAATTTGCACAGGTGCACCAATGCACTCTATTTGCACAGATGCACTAATGTATCTGAAAGGAAGTGTATATTAATCAAAAACAAAGATTGTGCAGCCTTTTTACTAGTGGTTAAGCAGGTGTCAGCATTCTTTTGAGGGGTGGATAAGTGTTGGTTCCAATGAATGGTATGACTGCTAAAAGCATATCCCCCTCCCCGAATTTATAGCACCCTGGGTATGATGATAAAGTACATCTAACGGCAAGACATTTGATCAGAATGCTTTGAGGAACTTAATTGCTGGTGTTCCCAGGTTCCCTGACCCAGGGTGGTAGCACCTGTTAGAGTTCCAGCTAGGGGTAAATAATTAACCCCCAAACTGGGGTGAAAACACTGAAACATTAAAAATAGGTTTTTATAGTAAAAATACCAGCAATAAATTTTTGGAAGAAAAAAATTACCAGCAAAACATTTGACTCTTGACAAAAAAACCCTTTTCAAAAATATGTCTATGAAACCTGATCTACAAATTTAATTTCTTACAAAGAATATTCTATTCATACAAACCTATCCTAAGAATCTCGTCAGCATTAAATAATCCATTGCTCTAAAACAAAATAAACCAAACCAATGATAGTTTCCATGCATCCACTATATTATAAATAAATGTGCATATGTAATCCAGCTATGGGTAAATAGCAGGACAGACTGGGTTCTATAGCCTTGGATGGCAACAGGTCTAGGATAAGGATAACTCTTACTTCAAAATCTGCAGAGGGTCGTTTGGGGACCTTGTGGCATGTAGTGCACCAGGTCTCTGTATTCAGCCCTCCAAAAAGTGTGGTTGTCTCTGCACAAAGCCTTCATCACTATAATCAAATCATATGTGCTGGGGTCTTGCTGTCATTTTCTAGGAACTGAGCTGCTTGACCCTCATACGTCGAATACAACAGGTGAGTCCACCATATGTAAAGTTATTTAATGAGATATTGAGAATATATCAGGAAAAAAAAATTACATCTGGAATCAGGCCTGATACAAGGGTGTTATGGTCTCACACCAAATCTATATGAGGAACAAAACTCTACTACATCTCAGTTTTAATAAGCTAGTATTTATATAAAATATAAATTTTATGTACAATGGATCATATTTAATAGTTGAACAATTCAACAAGAAAAATTGAAAATAAATACAATGCATTTAAATACATATTAAATCATTCCATCTTAAATAAATCAATTTTTTGCAGAAATGTTTAACATCAAATTGAAATATTTCGTGTTAAAAAGTTGAATAATTTTAACACATTCAAAATTATGGATAAAAAAACAGTAAATTTTATAGTGTTTTTTCAAGATTTAACATGAGCAAAACAAATTCACAGATTTGGATGAAAAAAAAATGTCCCCAGAATGACATCAAAATCTGAAGATTTTTCATTGCTTAATGGTCAGTTGTGATTAGTTTAATTTGTAACGTATATAAATGTAGGTAGAAAAAAAAATGTTAATAAGAGAGCAAGTGTTACAAAGCAGAGGTAATTGGGGGTTTTGGAGTATTAAGCAACGGGCCAGTCTAAAATATAACTTCATCAGAAATAAAGGCGGGCCGTAGCGATTGGCATAAAGTGTTACCTCCATTCAAGCTTTGAAAATGAAGTCAGAAGGAAAAGAGTTATCTCCCTTAGAACACTTTAGCTTATTGTACCCGCCTGCTTACTAGCACTTATCAATGGAGACTGAAACTTTGTAAAACAAAACAAAATAAACCAAATCAAATTTATAGACAAATCCTACGGATGTATGCTTGGATTTCTCCCTAACCAATAAAAATGGATCACTACTCAGTCTCATCCATTCTATTTTTGTTCTTATCTTGAAGTCAGAACACTCTGACCACTTGACTGTATCCCTTTTGAATGTGAACACTATTCTTTGTAAACTTTTTGTTTTATTACTATTGCTTTGCCTTGTTTTGACTTACATTTTCGTATTATTTTGACCTATTCTTTTTCTTTCTTTTCTTATTCTTTGAGAACTTCGTCAATTCCACTTGTTGAAAATTTTTACCGATTACTCTAAAGATTTAAATTTTTGATATTTTGTCACACATTCCCTCATAGTTGGCCCCCGGTTATGTTGGGGTGGGTGTATATTGGAGGGATCTCACTCACATAACAACAAAAATTAACCTCATGTTCATGGAGATAAAAAAGCATACTTGAAATAAAATGTACACAATAACAAGTAAATCATGAAAAGTTGTATGTTAATTTCATAGAATTTATTTATATTTTTGTGTGTATTGGTGTGTGTATTTTTTTGTTACAATTGTTTCATGACACATGTGATAAAAAGGAGAAGTGTTGCCTGTACAAAGGTTCATGGTGAAGAAATTCAATTTAAATGTCTTTTGGAGGGATGTCTGTATTTCTGGCAAGAACAGTTTTTGTTACATGCTGGGAGTATGTTATTTTATTTTTCTATTTATTTTAAAAAGAGTTTAAATATTATTGTTTTATTTTATTTTATTTATAATTTTCATTATTATTTTCTATTTTATTTTTTATTTATTTGTAATAATAAAGTCCTTACAATATCACTTTTTTCTTTTTTTTTAAATATTCCAATATTTAATATTTTTAAAAGATTTATCCCTCAACATTGTTTAAGTGCATTTAGTGCCATGCATTTTTTTAGGCCACATTATCAAATTTAGATTATAAATTCATTCAGCAACATGACTTGTTGCTCAATCACATGATCTGCAAAAACATGGCACCTTAATGAACTTGAATGAAATTTTGAGAATTTTTGCAAACTTTTTCCTGAACTTTGTAGTCAATTCATATAAAGAAAAATAATGAGTATATTTTTTCTTTCTTTTCAGGGATGGGGTCTGTACTGTGAATCTCTGGGGGAAGAGTTAGGACTTTACCCTGACAATTTTCAAAAGTAAATCTCTATTTCTATTTAAAGCATTGATAATTTTGTTAAAAAAAAAAACATTATTTTCAGCATCACATTTAAGTAAATATATTTTTTAAAGCTTTCACTTGAAAAACAAAAAATACTTTTCTTTGTTTTTTAATTTGATAAACAGTTGTTGGGAACCATTTATTAACTTTTGTGTGATAAATACAAGGAGTTGCTGAAAAGTTGTTGGCTCTGTGCATTTTCCCAAATCTGACAAAATATCAAAAATTATTTGGGAATTTCTTCTTGATTAGGCCAGGAACTCTTCGGTAAACTCTTTTGTGTGTAGCGTGTGTGTGTAACCTGAAACAGATGAAACCCCGAATAGCATATTTTGATATTATTTATTGTATTAATATTATTATAATATATTTAAGCTCTATTGGCATTAAGCCCTCAGTTTATTTCATATTTTAAGCTCTTAGCTTATATTTTTACTATTTTTGTGTGTGATATATATGTAAAGGTATATTTAGTATGTATGTATTTAAACAAGTTTGATTAAAAAGAACCGATAAGGTCTCTGTTTAATTTTTAATGTTTTTTATTTTTTTTTATTTTTATTTTTTTATTATGAGAGGATGCAACTTTGGGCATCTGCTCCCTCAGTTGCACCTCTGTCCTCTGACAGAGCTGCAACAGACGCACTCTTCCCAAAGACAGACGCAATTGGGATGATAAGTAGGGTGTTACAAACTACTCAAGGGAGCAATTTGTATTTACTCAACCCCGCCACAATATCAGGTTGTGACACAAGGTTGATTTAATGTGGGAAGCCTGAGTGCATACCCCTGGGCAGGAAGAAAATTTCCACAAGCACCCGCAGCCATCGGTTGCACTGACATCAGTGCAATCATCGATCCCTCTCTCTAGTACAATGAGCGAGCACGGCATCAGGCAGCTGTTCTCCAGAGCCGGCACCTCTCAGTATAATTTTCCTCAGTTGCGACTCTGTCCTTTGACAGAGTCGCCCTTGAGTGCACTCTGTCCAAAGATGCAACCGAGAGATAATAATGTTACAAACCACTCGAGAGTAGCTTACACACTAGGTATTTACTTTGTCTCCCCACTAAGATGAGTTGTGACACAAGGTTATTTTTTTATTCTGAGCACATACACCCAAACCAGGAACAAGAATCACCCGCAGCCCTCACCTCACAACCATCAGTTGTGCTGACCTCAGTGCGAGCATCGATCCCTCTCTCTGGTGCAATGAGAGGGTATGGCCTTGGGCAGCTGTTCCCCAGGGTTGGGGCACCTCTCAGTATAACTTTCCTCAGACGGAGCTGCCCCCGAGTGCACTCCGCCCAAAGAGATACACAAATGAAAGATGATAAATAGGGTGTTACAAACCACTCAATAGGGTAGAGATTTACCTAACCCACCACTGAGTCAGGTTGTGACACATGTTCAGTTTTTAACATGAGGACCCAGCTGGTCTAAGCTAGTCATAGCTGCTCATAGCTTGTCCTAGCTAGTCATAGCCATGATACTTTATTTATTAATTTATTCTGTCTTTACAGTCATATTTTTGAACAAATATATTGAACATCCACAACCCCATCAACATTTCATAAATAGTGAACATTAATCCCATAGAAAAACAACTAATTTTTCCTAGAAAAATTGCCAGATGGCGAGCAGGTAAAGCGTATTAGTTAATAATAAAATTGATAGTATTGTTACCTCATCATTTTGTATCATGAACTGCTTTTAAAATGACACCAACAGTTTTATAGATGGTCTAGTTGCCTATAAAAATCTTGTATTAATGGTTTGAATTTCTTTTTAAACTTTAGGTTTTGAAATATTTGCTGATTAAATTATCATTTGAAAATGTTTTTCATTATCGCTAAGTGTATAAATGTTTATTTTGTTTATATATTATCAATAGATTGGGAAGATATAATTTTGAAATCCATCGTGCATGTCGTTTGGTGATTGACACTGGCATCCATTCCTTTGGGTAAGTTGATTAATGAACTTGTCTTTTCTGTTTATTTTATTCTCACTTCATGCTAATTTGTTAACAAAATTTCCACCAGTCCACACGTTCACAGCTAGGACTTGCCATGTCATGTTCATGGTAGCAAATCATTGGCCTTTCTCTTTGTGTTCCTTTGGTAGGGAGTAAGTTCCACTAGGACAGATTTTTCCTTAGAACTGTTACTTTGTGGAACAAACTCCCAAGAGGATGCTTCCCTGACCAGTACAATCTTTGTCTCTTCAAGTCCAGGGTTAACCAATATTTATTTTACATGTCCTCATAATATTCACTTCTTACTTCCTTCTCTCTCTTCCCTTACAATAATCTGGGCTGGGTCCGAGTTTGTCATACCCAGCCCAGAGATTAGACTCACCATTATTAGGAACAGTCATGAACTTAGAAACACCGATCTCCTGTACGATCACTAAAGTTAAGCAACATTGAGCCTGGTCAGTACCTAGATGGGTGACTGCTTGGGAATACCACATGTTGGCTGAGCAGATGGTATAATGGATGGTATAATTGGAATTGTTAATTGGACAGCTGAGTTCTAATTCCAGTCAGGTTCATTATATTCACTTATGCACAAATATCCTTGGGAAAGGCATGAACCCACCTCCTCCTTACCCCAAGTAATGGGTTAATTAGTGAAATTTGTACCACTAAATCGTTATTATCTCAAAAAAAGAAATTATTACTGTCTAAAAAGAAGGGTATTTTGTGGCTTTAAATAACCTGCAAAGGTTTGATAAGCCATAGAAAATGTATTGATCAATATTAAAACTTGGAGCCATAAACTCTAGACAAGGACAGTGGAATGTGAATATTTTTCCCTGTAGGTTAAACAGGGTGCTCGTTCAAAATTCCGTGAAGGTTACTCAAATAGACACCTGAAGAAGGCCGGTGGGTCAGTGGCTGAAATGTTGTGATAATAATGAGATGAGGATATTAGTCTGAATGTAAATAATACAATTAACAATCTTTTTGTGTCGGTTAACTCTAGAAGACGTGATCACCAGTTTGTGTGAGAGAGAGAGAGAATAGAGAGTATTGTCAAATGTTAAGACATATCTATAAAAATGTTTATTACAGATGGTCAGCTGAAGATGCCTTCACCTATATGACTGAAAATTGTCCAATGGATCCTTGGTTTATCAGAAATGAAATTAATCGTTATATCACTTGGCCAGGACAGGTAAGACCAATGACATATTTTATTTATGCATGCAACAGACTTCAACTATTTATACCTTGCAGGTTCCAAATAAAATCAAAATATTAAATATATTATTTTATTCCTCGATCAAGTTTTGACGAGAGAGGGGTCGCTACCAGTAAACATACCGATATTTTTTTGTCTTTCGTTTCATTTGTCAATTTCTCTCTTGTTTTAACTACATATTTTAATGTCTGTGTTATACTCCTTTATTAACAGATTGCGACAGTTATTAGGGAAATGTGATTAAATATACTTTAATGTTTAAAAAATTTTATTCAGTATTATAATTGTTTAGGTAAGAAGCATTATAACATAGCACATATTTATGGTTATTTTTTCTAACTTTTATCAAAAACGACATTTTTTTGTACATGTAGTTATGGATACTATACATTAATTACTAATTTTTTTAAATTAATAACTATTTGTGTTCCGTTGTTGACATTAATAGCTATCTGCTGATTGTGTTAAAATCTTGGAATAATGCAATAATAATTTAAATTTCATATCTCTCATAGATGTTTGCAATCATCTGTAAAATTAAAATATTTCAAATTCATAAGTCATTGACTCAAGCTTGGATTTTATTTTCTAAAGTTTTATCTAAAGTAAACATACTTATTTTATTTTCTATCAGTTCCACATGATTACAATGGAATAGGAATTATGACTGAAGTTATTTTTGAGAATTTTTTTGGACAACTTTTCAAAATCCCTTGACAGGAAATACTCTGTTTAAATTCATGGGATGAGGAGTTATTATTTACACTATTTATATTTGGACTATTGTCCTCATATTTGTTGTTGTTATCACAATGTTTTTATCGTTGTGCTCTCCAGCCTTCCTCAAGGGTATATGTCAATCTGGTTAGTAATTTACAGGGAATTCTGAACTGAAGCCTTTATTTAATCTATGAGCACAGACTGTTCTCATTCCACTGCTAATGTCTAGGGATATCTCATCTATTCTTATTTAGCATTGTTCATTTATTTCCTTTCTGTTTCCATTGAGGGAAAGTACACACTGCCTGACCTGGGGATTGAACTTACAACCACTTTGTCACCAAATTTCACAAACCAGTACTGTAATCCACTAGGGGACAATTGCCTAGTGGATTATTTATTTATTTAGAAATTTTGTTTATTTCATTTATTTTTCTTTGGGTTAGTTATCTTATTTGTTTTGTTTAAGGTATTGACTTTGTCTAATGCATGTTACATTATCTGTATTGTATATAGTGCATATATTTGCATTTGTCACAGGGGTATTTTACAAGGTATTCATTTTTAGTTTTCAATTTTTTAAGTAACCCATCAAAAATTTGTTTATTTGTCTGCATTTTGAGATAAGTTCTGATCGTTTATTTAGTAATTCATGTTGGTCTGGGAAGGCGATTATAATTAATTTCTCGTCCCGACAGAATTTACATTTTGGGGATTTATTATTGTAGGCTGATGCTCTTTTCCTTATTTTCCATCATAGTTTTGGTGTAAGTTGGCTTTTGTTTTTGATTTCCCATATATGTTCCCAAAGCATTGTGCTTTTAATTTCCCATATATGTTTAAAAAGCATTGGCACATGGAATTGGAAAAGGTGCATGTTCTTTAAATCTGATAAAATTCCTCATTTCATAAGTAAAAATCAAGTTCTGTAGATCACGGTATTTAATGAAAATCATTTTGCTAAATCCAAAACATCATGCAAATGATTTAAAACAATATAAAATATCAAATAAAACAAATGTACACACTTTTCTTTGCTTATATTGAAAAGATTTTTGAAAGTGGTGCCGTAAATATAATCTACTTTGTAATGTACATTGTACTCATAAATGAGGCTTAGAAAATTTCCAAAACTTCATATGTAAATAATTCTATCAGTTTTCATGGGTACTATGCTAACATGATTGTCAGCACTTGCTTTTAAAATCCAGTTGAGTTTTTTGGTACCTGTTAGGATTGTTATTTTCTTTTTTTTTCTTTTTTTTTTTTTTTTTTTCCTACATGATATTCAAGAGCCAAAGATAAGAATCAGAATTTGAATAAATTAAGCAATATTGAGAATTCTTCATTACAGAAATCAGTTATCAAGAATATTCGAGTTCGTCTGTACATTTTTTTAATTAACAAAAAGAAATAAATTTTCCGTTTCAAGTTCTTTCCTTTAAATTCAATTTTTTTGTATGAATCAAGAGTTACTTCCCTTGCATTAAAATTTATCGTTTGCTATCGTCACGTGTACACAGATAACTTTAGTATAAATATCACTTTGAAATTTTACATTTTTAAATCAACATTTTGTTTTTTTAAATTCACCAGATCATCAAATAGTGTGAATAGTATTACTGTTTAATAATGCTTCAATGTATTCATTCATTTTCGTCTTTAAAAGCTTTACTCAGCTCTTTAGGCTTTAAGCATTTCTAAATGGTTTCGTTTTTCTTTGGTCAAGTTTAAACATCCTTCACTGATATTAAAAACCTTTTTAGCAATTCTGTTGCCATTGATCTCAACAACTTCAAAGCCAGAAGGGCAGAGGAAACTTTTTAGAGACAGAAATAAAGGAATACATTGAATAATTATTAAATAATAATGCTATTCACACTATTAATAAACATCAGCAGGAACCATTGACAGTTATTGATTGGTAAACTTCTGCTATTTGTTCTTTTAAGATTATTATTTTTAATCATTTCATTGCAAGGAAGGCAATAAAGCTACTAAGACGCAAGAGATTACTTACTGTGAGAAAATGAAAAACATTATTAAAAGAGAACAATAAAAGAGGAATTAAGAAGACGGAAGATAGTGATTGACATTACATTTAAAATAAATGGATGATATCTATTATATTCAGATTTGAATACTTACTCATATAAAAATCATTGCATACATGAATCTTAAAAATATCTCCTCTTCTGAAGAACAGCTCAACAAATTTATTATTTATGGTTGGACAAATGTCCTCACCTTTTATTGTTATTACAATGTTTTGATCATTGTGGGCTTACGGCCATAGCACACTGAAATGTGCGTTTCCATACATCATCAAAGTTAAGCAACATCGAGCCTGGTCAGTACCTTGATGGGTAACCACTTGGGATTATCAGATGCTGTAAGCTTGGATGTGCAGTTGATGTAATGGACAATGGCCCAGAATTTTTAATCAGAGAACTGAGTTCCAATTCCAGTTGGGTTCATTATATTCACTTGTACACAAATACCATTGGGAAAGTCATGAATCCACCTCTTCTCTTCCCAGCTATGGATTAATTAGTAAGACTGTCACTAAATCATTATCACCACCCACCAAAAAAAATCTTACAATGTAAAAAAATATTTTCTGGCTTTAAATAAGCTGCAATGGGTTGATAAACTGTAATAAAAAAATCACTTGATCAGTGAAATACTGATTAGCTCTGGAATATAAATGTGCAGAAACTACCGTGGCCAAAAAGTGAGGGAGCAGTTTATATATTGATTGTAATATCGAATTGATCCCCCACTTTATATCCATATTATAATTTCTTGTTTGTTTATCAAATTCTGATTAGGTATGAATCCACCTCTTCTACCCCCGGCTATGTGTTAATTAGTAAGACTTGTATCACTGAATCATTATTTCAATGGAAATTCTTACTATCTAAATATATTTTCTGGCTTTAAATACCCTGCAAAGTGTTGATAAGCCATAAAAAATGAATGAATCAATGAAACAATTGATCATTGGGCCCACTGACTTTCTTCAGTTATCTTTTTAGGTAACTCTCAGATAATTTTAAACAAAACCCTTTATTTAATTTACAGGAGTAGATTATTCTTGTTCTGCTATCCATATCGAAAGATATCTCGTCTTATTTATATTGTTTAAATTCAAACTGATGTCCTGATCTTTGTTTTTTATTATTACATTGCTTCGGGAGGTTGTGCCCTTCGGCCTTCTTCATGTGTTTTTTGATCCAGATAATAAATACCATACATCTGTAATTCAAACCACACCATATAAACTAGTTTATTAATGTTGGTGAAAGTCTGTCTGCTCACCAAACCAAAAAGTAGAAGATAGGAGAGACTAGACAATCTTTTACCACCATTAGTGAACTGATTTTATATAATGTGGTGCTTAAAAAAAAAAAAAATCACAGATGGCATTATCCAGTTCAACAGACATGTAAAGAAGGCCTGAGAGTACAGCAGCCAAGATGAGGATATTGGTCTAAATGAAAATAATAACTTCTTACCAGAGAATTTTATACAACAATCTATTTTGATTTTTTTCTTTTAGGCACTTGGTTATAAGTATGGTGAGATCAAACTGTGGGAATTTCGGAGAAAAGCTCAAAATGAACTTGGTAAGCAATTATGTTATAATTATTATGATTTGAAATGAAAAACAAAATCTTTCACCCAACCTCGTTTTTTTTTTTTTTTTTTTTTTTTTAATCTTTTTTGTCATATCAATAACTTTTTTAATCTTTTTCATTTGAACAAAAGTGAAAGTGAATTTTACTAAAACGAATCACTGCATTTTTCTTTGTAACTAATACTGAAAAGATGATTGATCTGCTTGCAGTACCTTCCCAGTTTAAGATCTCCTGGGGAGAAGTGAAGGAGTTGGGATTCAAAGAATTTCCTAAGAGCATCAAGACAAACAGGATAACTTTGGAAAGATTAAAATAGAAATAGATATTAACAATGGAAGATTGTCTGCCTTTTTAACTGTTCTAGACTTACGGCCACATCATGTTGAAACCTCTGTTCCTCTATGATCACCAAAGTTAAGCAATGTCAAACCTAATCAACTTGATGGGTGACTGCTTGGAAATATCAGGTGATATAAACCTGGATGTGCGGGTGGTGTGATGATGGCTCAGAATTGGTGAGTCAAGTTCCAATTCCAGTTGGTTTTGTTATATTTATTTACATGCAAATACTCTGAGGAAAGGTATGAAGCCACATCTTCTTCCCCAAGCTGTGGGTTAATTAGTAAATACTTGTATCACTAAATCATTATAATCTCAAAAAAAAAGTTTTTACAATCTAAAAATATTGGTTAGCTACACAGGCATGTCTTTTAGATTTCTTTACATTCTCTGGAAAATAAATGTGTAGAAACTACCGTGACCACAAAATGAGGGATCAGTTTGTATATTGGTTATAATATAGAATTGATCCCCCACTTTATATCCACATGATAATTTCTTGTTTGTTTATCAAATTCTGATTAGGTATGAATCCCCCCCCCCCAGCAATGGGTTAATTAATAAGACTTGTATCACAAATATATTATTATCTTAAAAAAAATTAACAAAAAAAAATTCTTACAATCTAAAAATATTTTCTGGCTTTAAATAACCTACAAATAGATTGATAAGCCACAGAAAATGAATCAATCAATAAAAAACTTGTCATTAGCATTTTCCCTAAAGCTGTTTACAGATATTGGATAGTATTATTGAATCCTTAAATGCTTTGCAAGTAGATTGTTTTTTTTTTTTGTTTTTATGTTTTTTTTTTTTTTTTTTTTTTTTTCATACATTTTAGTAAAGATTTGGCAATAAAAACTCCTTTTGTACATAATATCAAAGAGACTATAATTTGTAGATGATGTGACAGCTACATTCATTTAACATGACTTATTGTTCTAACTTCAATACTACCAAACATTTTTCTCATTCATACTCCCAAAATATTAGAGTAATCATTAGAATAGAGAAACTACACCCTTGTGCAAATGAATTGAAACAACAGCTTCAGTTTCCTTTCTTTCACCCTTATGGTCAATTTTAGACCCTCTGAAGTGACAGTGTAATTGCTTTCTATTTCTTCCTCAGATTAGGTCATTTGCAATGGTGGGAAGTAATATGAATCTCTTCTTGGGATGTATAATGAAATTTGTTTGGACTTGAAAAATATTGCATTATCTATGATTGCATCAGATTTTCATCATGCCCAGACGCTATTGTCTCGACTGTCAATTAGTTGTCCTATGGCCATTGTCTGCAATGGACATTACTCCAAGGAAGCATACAAAGATTGTAACGCTGCACGAACACACTGGCAAGCCTTAACAGTGAGCAAATGAATGTAGTATAGGCTGGCCTGGAAACTCTCCCAATTTAAATCCAATCGAGAATCTGTGGTCAATTTGTAAGGAACGACTTCATGGAATGGACATCTGAAGTACTAAAATGTGCACTGGGTCATGTTTCATTGGAAAAATACAAAAAACGAAAGTAAATAACGGAATTATTTGTTTTGTTTCAATTAATTTGCACAAGTGTGTATCTTCATTCTTATTCCTGTTGAAACAAACATGAAAAAATGAACTGCCGTTACTACTGATTTAGTTTCCTTCTGATTTCTTTTCTTACCTAGCTAAATAAATAATCAGGTACATAAAACAAAAAGTATACATTGCCTTTTGTTTGTATCTCTTCTGTATGGACAGACCTAAACATATCTGGTGGTAGCAAAGAAAAAAAAAATGGTTTCATCAGTAAGAACTGTATTTTGCTGTTTTTGAAATAAAAACAAATAATTTTAGCACATTTCAATGCTCCATCTGAATGTCGAACATGAACAGCAGATGGTTTGTGGTCAGGAATTAGTGCAAGCATAAGACTATTGAATGCACAAGGTAAATACATTGCTAATGATTTGACTAAAAGAAAGAATTACAAATAATTTAGTCTGAAAATGCATTGAAAATTAAAAACATTCCCAATAATTATGGAAGGAAAATTAAAGCCAACATTACAGAACGAATGCAGCTATTCTATGCTTGAAATGAATTAAAACCTCAGCTCAATATAAGAAATATTAATTGGTTTTTCTGTCTCTTAATGCAAAATTAATAGTTGATTATTTCTTTTAAAATCTTTGTTTTTGTTTCAGGAGTACTTTTTGATGTTCGAGAATTCCATAAGGTTGTGCTGAATGCAGGTGCTATGCCACTGAATTTACTTGAGAAACTTGTAGATGATTACATCAGTGAGACAAAAACTGCAGCACAAAAAGAATAAAGCAATAAACGGGACTCATCCTTTGCTGCAGAAAAACCTTAGAAAGGGAAACAATAGAGACAAGCCTGATTTTAAAAAACATTTAACAGAATTCTTTCCATTTACAAATATATTTTGATCTTTGTTAAATGTTTACAACAATGTTATTTTTTAATGTTTCTGACAAGTTTTAATTCATGTTGTGTTCAGATTTAATCATGATATATTTTAATAAATTTTTGTAAAATTATCAGAAAAAAAGCATTTCAATTGATCACAAAGATGTTTGTCCTTTTTTCATAGATTTATTTTTCTCATATGAATCTATCATCTGAACTCTGTGTAAATGTCAGCTCTTGCTATATTTACTAAATTTACCAATGCAATCTTTGGTCTGAAGGTCACATTGAAATATGAAACAGATAGTCACAGTGCAGTGTTGATCCTTATGTCCTTACTGTCTATAGCTATAAACACACAATCTCAGAAAATTAGCAATCTTCTCCTACAAAATACCAAATTTTAACTTATATATATATATATATATATATATGATGTAAGAAAAAGGTTATAATTGTTCCAACAAGAGAAAAATGTATATTTTAAAAAGAAAAACCACAAACATTTTTGGTTATAATGTGGACTTGTTTTAGTGTATATATTATATTTTATTCTTCATATTTTTGGTGCACAAGTTTCTGATCTTGCGACCTTCCCCAGGAAAATTAAAGGAATCAATTTTTACTTTATTCCTTTGAAAATTGATTTTTTTTTAATTTGCCTGAAGGTCGCGAGACTGGAAACTCATGTAGCAGAAATATGAAGAATATATATATATATATATATATATATATACACGCTAAAACAAATCCACTTTATAACCAGACATTTGCGGTTTCTCTCTCTCTTTCTCTCATGTTTGGTTATAAAGTGGATTTGTTTTAGCATATATATATTATATTCTTCATATTTCTGCTACATGAGTTTCCAGTCTCGTGACCTTTAGGCAAATTAAAAAAAAATCAATTTTCAAAGGAATAAAGTAAAAATTGATTCCTTTAATATATATATATATATATATATATATATGTAGGCAACATATCTTCATTCAAGCATGTTCCATTAAATAGTATAGACATATATTTATTTTTATAATAATATTTTCTAGTTCTCTAATTATGTTCTTATGTATTGCAACTTGGTAAATTTCAAAATAGTTTTAAATATTAGTCGACTCAAATACATATTAAAATACTCAGAATACATATAAAATACATATTAAAATACTCTATACTCAGAATAAATTTTGTTCAGTGTTGGTTGGTTGCTTTTGATAGAGAGGGCATAAAAAGTTTTTGTTTAGTATTTCCTTGGTGTAGTATATTGGTTTTGTCAACAAGTACTCTCCTTTAATTTTAAAATAATTATAGCAGAATGTGTTTGCAAAATCACAATAATAACACTTACATTAAGTTTGTCTTCACAATTCACTCCTGAGGATGATCTCTGATGTGATTGAAAGTACTTGTGAAAATAAAGACCACATGGATAATTACAGCGTTTTTCTTGGTCAGTTTTGTACCAACACTAAGAAATTGATCCATGAAATTGAGAGGACTAAAATAAAATAGACATAATGTCTAGATTATTCAACAAATATGGTTGAATGAAGATATGCTGCATTTTATATATATATATATATGTATCTATGTGGTCTGATCATGAAAAAACACTGTATACCATAAATTTAATATAATCTTTCTTTGTCAATGTACATAATTCAGTGGTGAATAATTATATAAATCAAATATACAGTGAAAATTCCAGATCAAAATTCAATATATAACTAGAAATTATATGGATTTATTGATCCATCCTCCTGTGTATATGCATATGTCTCACTTCACATGGCCTTCTTTTGAATAAACAGTATGGCTCTTGTTTCTCCACTGATGTATTAACATTTATTTGAGAATTTCTCTGTTAGGTTTTATATAAGAATGGCGAGGCTCTGGCTGTGACTTTAGATATCTTGAAGGCATTCGATAAATTTTGGCATGCTCGCTTTCTCTACAAGGTTAAGGGCTATGGTGTCTGGACAAATATTTGACTTAATCCATTAGTTCTCAATAAATCGTGTAATGAAAATCATATTGAAAAAACATGCTCCTAGATCATTTCACATTAATGCGAGTGTTCCCCCCCAAGCACAAATGTCCCTTGGACCTACATTGGGAAATTCCTTGATGAAGGTAAGATACAATATCATCAGTTAATAACTTGGTATTCAATTTAAGTAACTTAGTAAAATTTCAATGGATAATAAAATAAAAAATAATAATTATAATAAAGAAATAAAATAAAACAAATGAAAAGTAATAAAAATAAAATAATAGTAAAATAAAAAATAATTTTCTTTAAAAATAAAAAGTATTAATAAAAATAAAAATAATAAAGAAATAGAAATAAAAATTATTAATAAAAATAATAAATAAAAAGTAATAAAATAGAAAATATAAGGACGGACTGATTCATCACAGATGGGCAATCTGTTAGGTACCTATTCTATTGTAATGGACTCTCCCATAGATAATAAGTAGGAGTAGCAGTGGCAAGTCTGGCAGAATGGTGTTGAGCGCGTCAGTCGAGATTCGGACATTTGAAGTACCAACCATCGCAACTAGATTGCTGCGCCATTGACTCTTATTTTCTAAGTTCCTAACGTTTTGTACGTCGGACCTAATTTAGGATGACTTATTAGAAATACAAGCCTCCACTGTGAAAAATACTCCACAACACAATCAGAAAAAATAAGTTAGCACTAAAAATGAGAATGTTTTGAATATCTCATGAAATTATAGAAGCCTACGGTGGCACGTATTTCAGAGAATTGTGAGTGAGTTTAGTCTTTCTATCCTGTTGAGTCTAAATAATTTTAACTTGGAGAGAAGATAATGTTAAGATAGTTGCATATTAGCCACTGACATCAGTGTGCATACAAATAATAATTTGCCTTTGTCAATATTACTAATAGAAGTTTTGCTCGTTCCAATCAATTGGCTACAAGATAATGATAAATATGTCCAAGAATCTCTTCTATGATTCATCAAAAGATTTTTACAATCTGGACAGTGGTGATGGGGGTATGGCTTACCAATCTGCACCCTTCTTTGCTTTTCAACAGCTCTCATAATTTTGTTCCATCTTTGACAATAAGACAACTGTCAACTATATAGATTCATGCCTTTCTCAACTGTGTCAGTTTTAAGCAAACAGCTTGAGCCAAAATCTGTGCTTGGTTTGGACATTTCTGCATTGTTATCGTGCACATAATAACTGCAATGATAAAAATTGCCCAAGACTGCAACATTTGAGAACCCTTGATATTAAATTTGAAATTGTCCTGCTTGCAACTTCTAGGGGAATTTATGAGAAGAAAGTCAATTTCAAATACAGTCCAATTTTCTACTTGTTTCCTCAGTTTGTTTGTAAATCATCAATATCTGACTTTTTTTTAAAAAGTTGGATGCTAAATGGGGGATCATTCCTCTTTTATAACAAGTAATAAATAGATCCCATCTATTTTCCATAGCAGATCCTATATGTGTGTGGGGTGTGTGTGTGCGTGGGGATATATATATATTGTATAATCTATATACATATCTTCAAACAGCAAAGAAAATACTCCATAAACGCAACCAATCATAATTAATACCCTAAAATAGAAAAAAATAACTTCACCATTTAAGTATTAATTTATTAATAACAAAGCAGAGGCACAAGTGTGCTTGTGTACACGCATTTGCATGTGTATAGCTATATAAGTACATGTATGTATTTATCTGTGTGTCTGTGTGTGTGTGTGTGTGCAAATATATAAATACAGGCATATGCACATAAATACAAACAATGATAAATACAAATTTAATTATAAATCCAACCTCCTACAATTAATATCCTAATAATACTTAAGATACCACCAAATCAAATAAGAAAACGAAAATAATAGCCAATATCTGTTTGGACAAATATTTAACTTAATCCATTCATTCTTAACGAATCGTGTAATGAAAATCATGTTGAACGAACATGCTTCTAGATCATTTCACATTAATGTGAATGTTCCCCTACCCCAAGATCGAGTGTCAATTGGACCTACATTGTATCTTTCCTTCATCAAGGAATTTTCCAATGTCATCAATTAATAACTTGGTATTCAATTTTTTAAGTAACTTAGTAAAATTTCAATGGATAATAAAATAAAAAATTAAGCATTAAAATTAATTATTTATGTAAAAAATAAAAAACAGTTTTCCTAACCCAAGAAAACACTAGAACGCTCAAAAATGAAAAACTACAAAACGTCCAGAAAAATAAACATAAACCAAATGGCAACAATAGAACAAAATGGCGAAGCAGTGAGTGTAAAGTGGAGAAAAAAAATAAAGGACAAAAAGTCACGATACCCTACATGTATGCATAAACAGGTGCACTACATAAACGGACATCAGTGCAGACAGGCGTATGGCTGAATGTGCATGTGTAAACATGCACACACGCACTATAAAAATACTTGCACCAATGATAAGGGCATATAAAAAGAAAATTCGAGAAGTACAAGTAGTCAATTGCTGATATCCTCTGACGAGTGGATGGATAGGTCCTTCTCCAAAACTCTGGAGGGGAGATGCTGAAGGTAACATCAATCAGCTAAGTGACAGACCTTTTTATATATATATATATATATATATATATATATATATATATATATATATATATATATATAATGTACATACACGTAAACGTTAGAAAATATACTTGTATATAGAGTTGCGCAACTGGATTCATTTTGGACTGTTAGATTTTGAATTTTTCTACTAACTTTTGAGGCTACTACTGGGCTAAATTAGACTCATGACCAGAAAGTCAATTGAAAATTTAGTGGTACTAGATTTTCGAATGTCATCCAATTCACTACTTGCAGCCCAATCTGACAAAATTGTTTCTAAGTCAATACTTCA